GTGTGGCGCATATATATTGGCGCTCTCTTGTACCAATATTTATGTGTTCAAATAAATAAATAAATGGGTTGAAATCTATCATGATGGGACCTGTATGTTCGTTTTCTTGTTTTTTCCTCAACATTTTGACTTTCGCTATGATTCCTTACTTTCTATTGCTTGATTTTATTCGGCATCTTCAAACTTTAGTCTCATTGACTATTATTGATAGTACCGTTATCTGTGCTTCTAAATATTCACCTTGTTAATAGTTTTTATCGCAATGCTGGTGACAGCTGTTTAAACTTGATCCAGTGTATATTTGTGACAGACCTTACTCTGATTAAAAGCTGACTGAAACAGTTTACGGAAAGACCTTTTTTAAGAGGAAGAATGTGTTTGTAAAATCTCAGTGAATGAATTTAAAGTAAATCCAACGTTTCGCCTGGTAATCTGGTCCAAGCTGTTTCGAGAAAATATAATCAAACATCAAAATTATCGAATATAAATAGGTACATGGTTCTCTGATTAACTGTATACTAAATCGGTCATCCAATCAACGTTAAAAATAGGTGAAGTAGGTATTTGCTTTAGTGTGTATGAGACATGTGGTGTGAAACGAAAAGTGCTAAGACAACAGATGGTGTGTATACATAAGTGTTCATAAAATCAAATATAGTGACCTTAATTCCGCATATGTAGGTGAAACATCAAGACAACTGAATGTGATTCCGAAGGAACACAAACTGCTTAAAGTACGTTCCTAAATTTCCAGACGATGTAAGAAAAACTCGAAAACAAATCAGCAATAACATTAATCGGGTCATACGATTGATTCCAATGGCACAAGAACCTTTCAAAAAAGTTCTAATTCTTACAAAGAAAGACTGACAACAGAAGCCCTACACATATAGGCAAATTGAAATATTATTAATAGGAAAGATGGAATACAGTTAGCTGTCCTATGGCAACTAATAATTAATAAGTAGACATGAACTCCTTATTCTATTTTATCTCTTATTATCTGAATAACAGTAATTACATTCAACAATTCTGATCAGTTGTCTTATCTGAATATCAGATGGGTTTTTGTGGAGATTGTAGTAATTTCAATGTTTAAGATCATGAGTCAGTTGAAGCTAGACCACCATGGAAAACCTGGAAGCACTGGACGGCCGTTTCGTTTTAGTATGGGACTCCTCAGCAGTCCTACAATAGGACGAAACGGCCGTCCAGTGCTTCCAGGTTATCTGAATATGTTAAATAGTTAACTGAAACAATAAAAAATAACACAAACATTCATTTACAAATACATTCTTTCTCTTTGAATTCATTCCTTTATTTTGGTTATCTTCATCTTATGCATACTGTGACATATTTGATTCATATCATATATAAAAATTGCATATTTTCTTAAAAATTCACCGACTACAGACAATATATGGTGAATGAAATTTCTCACACCACGTACGTATACACACCATCTGTTGTCTTAGCACTTTTCGTTTCATACCACATGTCTCTTACACACTAAAGCGAATACCTACTTTAAACATTTTTAACGTTGATTGGATGACCTATTTAATATACAGTTAATCAGAGAACCATGTCAGTCAGTCAGTAACAACGTAGAACTTCGTACGTACGTACATCAGTTCGAGTTGTCACACCACATTAGCACAGAGATGCAGTGGTCGATTCAAATCCCGTAGTGGTAGAGGTAATATGAGTATAAGCAGTAATCGGGAAGATTAGGGCTTGGAGATGTTATTTAAAGAGTATAATACAGTGAAATAAATTTGGGAAGAGAAAAAAAAGGGACAAGGAGGAATAACGAGATCAAAATTTGGGAGAACACAAAGAGTGTATGCACCTGCGCCATTGCAAACGATTTTGAGCCGTGTCATTCAGGGTCTCTAACCATCGGTTGCTATCATCTCGCGGTCCCCAACCAGGTAGTCTACACCTACCAACATGACTCAGACCACTTGTCAGTGACTTCATGGACTTGTGCCATGTTTTGGTCTGGCCGCCCCTAGCTTTCTCCCAACCTACTCCTATACCACTGAACATAGCACGTCGAGGCAGTCGGTGGTTGGGCATACGTAACACGTGTCCAAGCCATCTCAACTGATGAAGTTTCACTACTTCATCAATTGATTTGCCATCCTTACCTAGTACCCGTTTCCTAACAACTGTGTTACTTACTCGATGGTCCCAGGATATACGAGCAATGTTTCGAAGACACCTATGATCGAATACTAGTAACCTACGAATATCCTCTACTCTTACCGGCCATGTTTCACTGCCATAAAGTAGGACGGGACGAACTGCTGCGCAGTAAACACGTCCTTTGGTTGGTAGACGGATATCTCGCCTACGCTATAAATGACGCAAGTTGGCAAAAGCTAGTCGAGCCTTCTGTATCCGTGCTGAGATTTCGTCACACACCAGACCACAAGGGCTGATGAGACTTCCAAGATAAGTGAGGCGGTCGACACGCTCAATTACTTCACTCCCTATCATTAGTTCAGGTGTCAATGCAACCCAATTCTGAAGCAACATTTTGCATTTCCAGGGAGAGAATCGCATCCCGAACATGCTTACATTGTTGCTTAGAGTGGTCAGAAGATTCTGCATTTTGTCAGCGTCTTCACCAAATAAAACTATGTCATCAGCATATTCTAAGTCAACAAGTGAACCTCCCGGTATGAATTCCGATTGAGAATCCACTGTAACTAGTAGCTGGATACATATATACTAAGATGAAACAAGTTTGTATGCCAAGTAATTTTCCATTTTATTGAAGTGATTTAAAAGACGAAAGTTTCATATAAAATAGAGGGCTTTAATGCATATGGAGTGTATGTTGGAAATACTTTTGTAAACTTCAATGAAGGTTGAGACTTAGATAGTTTACTTAGGATACTCATCTGTTCATCCAACTTACAAATTACCTCGGATAATACTTAGATACACTTGTCCTGTTCTTGTAAAGCTAGGTACTATTCACAGAAGAACATCCTTAGACACGAGAAGGAGCGGATTTTATGGTGAGTTAAAAGCAGTTCAGAGTTATTAAATATACTTTGTTAACCTTAACTACCTACCTTCGGATTCGTTACTCAATGTCATTGCTAAGATTCGACCTAAATACATCTGAGAAGCCATAAAAGCACTACAACGCCATATGTATGTACAATTAGCTTCACTGCTATAAAAGTAGTTTCCTTTAGATTTTCGTGATTTTATTTGAAGTCATTTTACTTTTTTGTCTTTTATAACTTACAAATTACATATGATCTTATTCCCTTTAATTTGTTACGTCCAAACGTTTACAACCAAAAATTCACGTATTTCACTGGTTTCGGCAGCATTACTATATCCTGCCAACTTTAATCAAATTCTATTCTTATTTATGAGGATTTGCACATACATAGACTGAAATGTTACACCAAAATCTCTCACTATATATTTGTATCTTTGGTGAATTTTATAGATACGTAAGTTGTCAGTAATAAAGGTCAACTCCTTACAACACTTGTTTCATGTGTGATGTACAAGAACAACAGATTGATGTTGGTTGTAAGTTCATGGTATAACGATTATTTGAAAAATGGCAACTACTGTTGAAACTAATGATACTGTATACATCCTAACACTTCTAACCAATAACACATTTCGACTTAATATTAATGAGCGAAAAGCATTCCATCATAGACATGCATTCTAACAAAAGTTTTTTCACCACTTTGATTGAAGGAGTGATCGTTGGTTTTGAACTGTCTATTTGAATATAAAATAGATCGTTTTTACTAACACTATGCTATAAAGAGCTTTAAGAGTGTAAAACACTATTTCACATGGGATTTTATTTCTGTTCGAATTTAGGATCCAACAGGGTTGATTGCGATGCAGTATGCGTAAAATAGACTTTTTATTTATTGAATATCAGAACACTATGACAATATCACTTGGTCTTGAAACGCCTAAGAAAATCTATAAGATACGATTACTTAGTTGAATCTCATATCACAGTGTCGACTATGATCGCATTATGATTATTCATCATCGAGTAAGTAATAGTGAGGTTAAACGCAGGGTATTAGGGAATGATGGTAAATCAGTTGATGAGGTTGTGAATCTTCATCGATTGAGATGGTTGGGCTACGTGTTACGTATGCCTGAACACTGATTATCACGACGCACAATGCTGATTAGTGTTGGGGATGGTTGGAAGAAAGTTAGTGACGACCAAACCAAAACGTGGCATCAGTGCTTGAAGACATTAACTTCTAGTCTGAGCCATGTTGGTAGATGCAGACTACTTGGTTGGGGTTCGCATGACTATCGTAACCAATGGTTGGAGACTCTTGGTGACATGGCTCAGAATCTATCACAATGGCGTAGTTGTATACACTCTCTGTTTTCCCTTAAACCGTGAGATTACTTTGTACGAACTAATTCTTTCTCCCTGTACTATACTTTTATACACAATCTTTCTTTTATATATTACCACTACTTCTATGAATTTGGTGTTCATATTGGTGTGTTAATGAGGTGTGGCAACTTGGACCGATGCATATATATGCCTGGTCCTACGTTGCAGCTAACTGACTGATTCATGAAAGCTTCTAAAATCGCCTTCATATAAACAAAGAAATGAAACGTTACATAGTTAAAATATTCGTAACCATTTTCACAAACAGACATAATCAGCAAACACTTTCAGAGTTTATTGTAACTCAATTGTAATTTATGCACTTTTGACGCATCACAAATGACTGACAATCATTGCTATTTTTTACTGTTTTAAAAATACAAAATACTACCGAATTAAGTCAATCAGACATAATCCTTATTATTACTTTGGTAAAATGTTTAACAATAATTAGCAATCTTTATTTTCAATGCCTTGAAGAATAGATAATTCAGCATTTATATCTATCTAATGAATTTTTACATATCAATATATCTAAACTTTCTAAACATCAGTCAATAGATACCATTGTTTTTTTCAGCTCATCTGCAAAGTTCGACAGTGGGTCAGGTTGGCCATCATTTTATCAAGTTTATGGATCAAACGGGCGAGACGATTCGCAAACAAATGTTACTAGAACAGAAGATAATTCACTGGACTCGACGAGAATAGAAATCTCATGTAAACAGGTATGTATGTGTTCACTGAAAAGTATGATATCTTACTTTGCATTCAGTAGTATTTAATAAATAAATGTAATTTTCATGTTAAGAGAAATGTGTCTCAGCATTTTCTCTAGTCGTATTGTATATACACTGCAAAAGTTGATCACCTTGGCTGAAAGTAAAGAATTTTGTTAAACTTTTGACTAAGTTCCTTTATGCATTAAAATAACCTAAATGTCTTGTCATCGGATACAGTTATTAAAAAGAACGAATAAAGAGAAATGTTTTCTTTTCAATTAGTTTTCATCATACCTCTTCACTAATTTATATATGTATGGTGTACAACAATGAAATAATACTCATCGAGTAGTTGAATAACGTAGTAATTATATAGTGTAACAATGATTACAAAATAATATTAAGGATTAAAAAGATCAAAGTAGTTATCCGAAAAATTAAACAGTTGCTACGTTGCATAGTGAATAAAAGGAATTAACACAATATTTAGATGAAAGGTCAGTATTATAGTAACTCTGTAGAAATCAAGAAACATGTTGAGAAAGTTAAATTGCAAAAGTAAAAGAAATTTGAAAATTGCTAGAGTATTCTCAGAAGAGGGGGTTCGATCGAAGTTCAGTTAAAACTTACTCCTATACCGATGGGCAGGATGGCGAGAATGGTTGTACGAACTTCTTTTGGATTCGTAGGTGTTAGGTTTATGAACATGGATTCTGATAGCCTCAGCAATCTGCAAAAGCTGAACTCAGTTATGTGGTAAATTTGATAAAATATATTAGATAGCTTTGAATGCTTTTTTAAGTTAACTTGACGTCCTATGTTCACCAAATGAGCGAGTATAGAACTGCTGCTTTTCCTTTACCCAACCAAGATGGTTGGTGTTTCGCTATGCGATGACGGACTTACCTGACCATGCGCCTTTTATAACTGTTTCGACAGGAGCGGATGAATTGATAAATACACATGGACGTGGCGAATTCAGGCTGTTTGTTTTTATTGATGATTTTGATTACCGAGCGATTGCAGAAACTGCATTCATTTAGACTGCAGTAATTGTTTTCTGCACTTCATTTCTTAACCTTTGAGTTACAATTTTCCCGGTAGCATCACTTACGAATAGTAATGTTAGGAACATTAACTTCTGAAGGGTAGTTACTTCCATTCATGTGTTTGTTGTTGCATTCCGTTGTATATCCATTCCTACTAAGTAGGTTACGAATATTAATCATTTCATCTACAATTGTGTCATCAAAACAAATCATTCTAACACAATGAGTCGGAATTTTTATTAGGTTTCTTTTATATGTGATTGGTACAGCACTATAGAAATAAGTATATTGCCCAACTGTAAACTTTCTATGTATCCCTCTCTTTAATGTCCTATCTACTCTTGTTAGTCGGATATTTAGAGACGATATGCTATCACTATGTTCCTTCTCAAGTGTAAAAGTAATAATTGGATGAGTGCTATCAAATGTAACAAGTAAATTATTCTTCTCCTGTCTGTTTTTTTAAAACTGTGAAAGTATCATCTACATAGTGACAGTAGAATGTTAAATGATTGATTATGTCTTTAAATGGTTCATTTTCCATTTTTCCAAGAAAAAATGTTTGCCAAAGGAGTGCGTAATGGTGACCCCATGGCTACACCATCCAATTGCCTATCGTATTCATTGTCGATACAGAAGTGGAAGTTCGTCGTGCATCTAAGAACTAACTATTTTCTTGCAGATACGGGAATTAAGGTTTCTTTGCGTCTTTCTATTAGTTCAATGCATATGAAACAATTTCCTTGTGGAACGGTTTAAGAACTTTCACTAACCATTTTGCTCTTATATGATAGGCTGAGTTATTCATATCGAAACGAGTTGAAGAGGCAAACCACTTTTATGTATTTTTTGTCAGACCTTATAGCCTTAGTGTTATGGTTCCTGTAGGTCTCAACATTCTGAACACTTTTTCTAAAATAAAACCTTGTTTAATCGGTTCAAATGAGTCTATTACTTGCTTTTCAATACTGTCTGTCACGTTATTCTCATGTGGGAAATTTACATTCCATTTACAATACAAATAGATTGTTATAATTTTCAGACAGCAGAAGATACAGTTGGGGTTGTACTTTTATTGGGTGAGTTTATTAGATTACAGTGAATTACAGGCTGACATTAGATCAGAGGTTCAGTAATTGAGTGGGAAAAGAACCACAACGCTTCAATCGACAGTCTAGTCCGATCTTGAAGGAAATAAACAAATATCCGGATGATCGACTACAAATAAGGTCGCAGAATAACTATGTACAATACGATTGACTAGTCTTGTTTAAATGTTCAGTACGAGTTTTCAGGGTGTAGACATAAGTCATTTCATTTGGAATGTAGTTTGTTAAGAAATGTAAGAATATGTATACAGAGCTTACAAGAAAACTGTTGGTCATATGTTGCTTCAGATCATGGTGGAGAATGAATTAAACGGTTTGTTTGATAGCCACGAACTAAACTTTTCACAGCATACATGGTTTGAGAATAAATGGATGTTTGTGTTTTTGTCCTCAAGAGACTCGTTTCAAACATAATGACTGACGAAGAAATTGAATGTATATCGTTGTCTACAATACATGAGATGAAAAAAGGATATTTAGCTGCTGTAGTGCAGCTAATTGTACTCCGCCTTGTCTACTTAGATTGCGCGGGTTTACCTAAATGTGAAGTCCTTGGACTGTCTTTATTAGAATTTTATAAACCTCTACTGAACAATTGTTTGGTGGTGGTACACAGTTATTTTTTTGACTATACTTATTTTCTATAATTCTGATTGTTTCCTTGAAGAAGCTCGAACTATACTTCTTAATGAAGCGTTCAAGTTATTCTTAATTTCGATTGCTGAGAATTTTACAAGTATAATTCCATTTGTGGTGTCTTTCATACGTTCAGCAACCAACTATTGTAGAACCAATCGTTCGAGTTTGGACGGAATTTCGTACAGAAAAAATTACGATGACTTGTTTAGTATTGTGAGAAGTGTTGAGCGTTGTCAACGACCAGGGAAAAATTGGTGAATAACTGTTGATAAAAATATGTTTCTCGGAGAGAAAATGGATATTTCTATGCAGATCCGTCACTTCAAGTTGTTCAATTCTATTAGATTTTGTGTCCTCACTTGCTGACTTTTAGAGTTTGAAGGTTCTTTCCACCGCAGTACTTTTCACAAACTACTTGAATGGCTACTATTGTCGTGATTTTGCCTATTTTACTGTAATCCTCCTAAGCTAAAGTATAATGAAGTCATGCAATTATTCTTTAAAATCATAGTATTCATATGAATATAATTTTTATAAGACCGTTTCGGAGAATTTTATTTTCTGTTAGACTTTCTGTAGCAATATACTTAAGTAATCAACCTTTTTCCATGATATCATATTTAATCGAATTAGTCTAGTTCTAAAAAGTATTCACATTTCTAAACATTTTTTATTTTTTCCAATAGTGTGGCGCTCATCTAGGCCATGTGTTCGAAGATGGACCTAAACCAACCGGTTTACGTTATTGTGTAAACAGTGCATCTTTGTCATTTAGAAAATCAGAATAATTGATTGAAAGAATATTAATAAAATCATTTGGCTGACAAGAATGCATCAGGTCTTAATATGAATTGGCTAACTTTTCTTTTTATCCAATGTTTGTATCGATCAGGTGTCGGCTAATAAACTCATATGCTTTCTTACAACCATGCTTTTATTACTTTACCCGTTATATTCAGTTGATGGTAGTAAGCGAGCTAAATGCGCGAGGAAATTTACGAAGTTTTAGCTAGAAGCTGTGATCACTGGAACTCAACCGTATGGAGCGTGGGGCAGTTAGCCAATAAAGGCAATGAAAGGTGATTGGGTAGTACCACGAATTCATTGAAGCTAAACATGTACACCATTGGCTGTTGCCAACTCGCGTCACTTGTGGCGCAGGCGAGATATCCGCCTGTCAAATAAAGGACGATTTTACTGTGCAGTAGTTCGCTCCGTTCTACTTTATGGGTGTGAAATGTGGCCATTAAGAATAGAGGATATTCGTGGGTTGCCAATATTCGTTCAAAGATGTCTTCGAAGTATTGCCCGTGTATTTTGGGACCACGGAGTAAGCAATGCCTGGGTTATGAATATGGTATCAGGTAAGGGTGGCAAGTCAACTGATTGGGTAGTAAATCTTCATCAACCGAGGTGGTTGGGGATGTGTTACGTATGCCTATCCATCGCCTACATCGACGGGCGATGTTATTTGGTGTAAGAGTATGCTGGAGGACAGCTAGCGGCGGCCAAATTAAGACATAAAACCAGTCCATTAAGTCACTAACAATTGAATCGATCCTTGTATGTAGGTTCAGATTATCCTATTACGGTCGTGCGGTTTTCATAAACAATGGTCAGGTTAAGCTTTTACCTCGAGAACTGAAGTTGCTTGGTTCAATCCCTGGTGGAGGCTTGATACACACTGTTGAAGATTCTCACACTAAGACGAGACGGCTATCCAGTGCTTTCTAGTTTCCAGTGGTTTTTTTTTCAACTTATTTTGGTTCTCAATCTCAATAACATTGTATAAAAACGGATGACATATTATGTAAGTCAATTTCGGAACACGTGGAAAAACAAAACGAATAACAAGCATTATTTAGGATATATTTTTATGACATGTAATGTACATTGTTTATCTTAGTTATTTCTAATGGACATCCTTATAACGTATAATAAATAATATAAAGTTATTTCACTGTCAATATATATTTGAATTCACCTCAATGCTTTTGTTTATTATCATTTCTTTTTGAAATTGAACCAATTGTTTATGTGCATCAGGTGGTATATTTTTTAATAATTTCTCAGCTAAACGTTCACGTAATGATGGAATGCTAACCTTGAATAAAATGAAACATGGAAATTATTATTGGAAAATTACTTTTTTTTTCATCTTTTGAATTAAAATGAATGAAGTTAACTGACTAAAAAAGTAAACTCCATCAATGTGATAAATGTACGACAATGCAATGGAGAAGATATTTTTGCTGTTGTTGAGTTCTCTGGGCTAGATGATTTAATTGTATAGTTTTCAATGTTGGTCTAAACAACATCGTCAGTACTTAATCTATGCAAAAGTGGAGTTTCTAGTTATTTTGTAAGCCTTAAAACCTGACAATGAAATCTCTACGATTAAACCATTTAGATGAGAAAACATAACTTTATCATAAAATGTTATATTATCATGAAAAAACGCAACGATTTTTAATTAATTAACATCGAAAAAGTATAGTTCTTGAAATGAGCATCATATTTACTTGGGATTTACTTACTAGTCATAAATAAATATTAATATTTTCAAAGTTTAATTTAAGGTTGAAGAATTGAAAAAAATGAATGTTAATCCCAGTTCCCTGTTAATCTTTATCAAACTTAATAAATATCTATTGGGAAAATTAACATGAATTAAAAATAAAAACAACATCCAATTGGTCTTTACTTAATTACAGATTTAATATATTAAAAAAACATTTATTTTTACCAAATGTAATAATTAAGAATAATAGATTCATATCAGAAGGGTTTTTGTGGATATTATAATAATTTCAATGGTTGAGATCATGAGTTAATTGAAGCTAGACCATCATGGAAAACCTGGAACACGACCGTTTAGTGCTTCTAGGTTTTCTATGGTGGTCTAGCTTCAACTGACTCATGATTTTAATCTGTGAAAATTTCTAAAATCTCCACAAACCCCGTCTGATAATAATCATCTGCTCACTAGTGACTGACTTCAAGAGATACTTCTGGAGTTCTAGTGGGAAGTCGTTACCAGCGGAGTTCAACCAGGTCTGTTGTGAGATATCAGCTCACTGAAGACAATAGTGTACGGTGGCGCAACTTCGTGAACTGGTTGAAGTTAGACATTAACACCGTTGGATTCCGGCTCAGTGGTCTAATGGTTAAGTGCTCACGCGCGAAGCCAGTAGGTCCTGGGTTCGAATCCCGCGGGATGAGGGACCGTGGATGCGCAGTGTTGAAGAGTCCCATGCTAGGACGAAACGGCCGTCCAGTGCTTCCGGGCTTTCCATGGTGGTCTAGCTTCAACTGACTCATGATTTCAATCTGTGAAAATTTCTAAAATCTCCACAAACCCCTTCTGATAATTATTTAATAATTGAATTCATGAGTCTATTAAAGCTAGACAATCATAGAAAACTTGGAAGCACCAGACGGTCGTTTCGTCCTAGTATGGGACTCATCAGTGCATACCCACGATTCCGTCCACGGGATTCGAACCCAGGACCTACTGGCTTCGCGCGCGAGCACAACCTCTAGAGCACAGAGCCGGCATCCAACGGTGTTAATGTCTAACTTCAACCGATAATAATAATAATTTGTAGTAGACTTAGTTTACCTTTAAGTTATAATTTAATTCAAACTTATTTAGAAATAAATTACTTCTTATTTTTTATGGGTGAATCATAAAGAATAGAAATTTCGTTTAAAATTCTGCATATTTATTGTTCAGTTATGGTTTAATTGTGTTGTGATTTCATAATCATATCAATTTGATAAAAGATAACTTAATGAAATAGTCTTTTTTTTTCTACTACTGAAATAGAGGACAAATTAAAAAATAATAACCGTAAAAATGAACATAAATAACGTGGTGATATCCACATTAATTAATTTCTGAAGTGAATAATAATACATAGTTCTGATATACTACTGAAATTCAATGTTTTGTCAAGTTCATTTAGAAATGATTAAAGAATATGCTTTATTAGAATTGGATTATACTAAAAGTATAAATCAATTGATATTTGGTTCGCATCCATTCTGTTATGTAACTCGTCAACAATATAGGCTTATTAAACACTGTTACAATCCAATTAGACATCCATGAACTTCACAATTGAAAGTGGTTATCTGTGAAATTGAGTTTCAATACTAATATCAACTAATAAGTAACTTAAATCTAACAAAATTTTGACAAACCAACTCAAAGGTTTCCTGCCGCAATATAGTTGTAGTAATTAAGGGGAATTAATTACTAATGTCTATTAAGTAGTGGTTGACTATTCAATTAAGCGCATAGATGAACTTAGGGAATTTTTTCTACGTTATTTGTCTAATAATTGTTAATGATTGGTGACATGTGGACTGTCATCATATATTGATGAAAATTATCTTGATGCATATAGCAGAAGTCTACAATCCGATTATTATTACGATAAAAAAAACGTAATTTGTGCTCTCTTATTTTTATCACATTTACCACTGGGAATCTGTTCGAATTGGTAAAAAAACGTTTGTGAGTATTCATTAAAAGATATACGCAAATATTCTATTTGTTTCCCTATTGTGGGTATATTAGAAAATAACCGTAGTTAGTAACCTCACAAATAATCAATATCTCACTGTAACTGGTCTTGTCTTTTGAACCTGATCACCTTGAACTTTTGTTCGGATCCCAGTTGACTGTCCTTTATCTGTTCGACCTAACAGATTAGCTGATGAAGGTTTTTGTTTTATTTCTATAAGAATGAAAAAGTAACATATACTGATTTTTATAAAGAATAACAATTATGAAGCTTTCTGTATTTTACTAATTATACAGTTTAATATTACTTAATCTAGAGGATAAACAATTCAAATAATAATACAGCAAAACATCTTATCACTAGCCTTTTTGTATGTTTTATGTCTTCAATTTGAATGTTAGATTATGGTTTAGTGTAATACATTTCAAAGGCTCAACAGCAAACTTTGTCAATAGTGTATCTTGATAGCTTGCGGAAACATTATTTGTATTAGTAACTTGAGTAAATATAAAACCAGTTTTAGATCTTTTCTTTTACCAATATTCATACAAGTTTATCGGTTTTTGTTGAAATCACCTTTTTTTTACACTGACAACTATATTATGGTAGCCAATTATAGTTATAGATGTTATTTAACTAGTTGGGTTTAAATTATTATATATCATTAGATGACTGACTGAAAACACAACCCACTTTTGAAAGTAATGCTATTTTATACAATACATCATACTATCTTAAAAGTCGAACTTAGCCGAACCACCATTAGAAACGTGGAAGCATTGGATGGCCGTATCATCCTAGTATGGGACTGAGCAGCGCGCATCCACGATCCCGCACGGGGAAATCGAACCCAGGACCTTTGGTCTCGCTCAAGGACGCCTAATCTCTAAACCATTGAGCGGCATCCAACCATGTTAATGTCTAACCTCAATCAATCCACGATCTTGCTCAACCCTTCATCCCTTGTCTCGGGCGAACAAATTTTTCCACCGCACACGGATTGTATTCCACTAGTCATGGCTTTTCACTAGAAGTCCAGGAAATCCATCTTGAAGATAGTCACTAGTGAGCACATCATGACGCCTCAGTGGTCTAGAGGTTAAGTGTTCGTGTGCAAGACCGAAGGTCTTGGGCTCGAGTCCTTTTTGTGGGGTCGTGGATGTACACTCTCGAGAAATCCCATACTAGAACCAAACGGTCATCCAGTACTTCCAGAGTTTTAATGGTGGTCTAGCTTAGATCGACTCATGAATCCA